GATGCGCCGGGCGCGGCCGCGCGCCCCCGAGCGCCAACCCGGGCCGCGGCCGTGGGGCAGTGCCACTTTGCGGGGTCACGGCGCCTGAAGCCCACGTGCGCCGCGGCGCGGAGGCAGCCTCCCGCGGGTGGCTGACAGCAGAGCCCGCCTGCGCGCCTCCCCAAGGAAAGGATTTTGATTTCAAAGAAAGGAAGGAAGGACAACTCCCAGCTGCCCCGTCCCGCCCTCTCGGCTCGGGTGGCCGGGCCATGCCCAGGAAGGAGGTGGCGGCCCAGCAGAGGGGACTTTCCTGGCAGCCCGGCGGCGGCGGCGAGGAGCTCGGACTGTGAGTTGGCCGTGCCCCGGTTCATGCTTCCTGCAAGCCCTCCCGGAGGCTGGACGCCGCTGTCCCGCCTCGCCACCCAGAGAACCTCCTGCATTTTCCTCCGGCCCTTGGTCCCGTCCCGCGCCGCCTGGACACCGACCGCCGCAGCGCAGTGCCCTCCGCCCGCGGCGGTGGATGGCATGATGGTTCGGGGAAGGCACCGCGGCCTTGGCCTACCCAGTCGCGACGGCCGCGGGGGCAGAGCCAGTGGCAGTGGCGGCGGTAGCGGGCTCCCCAGCGGCATGCTAGTGCCCCCCGGGCGCAATGGCTAGCGGCAGCGCTGGGAAGCCCACCGGCGAGGCGGCTTCTCCCGCTCCACCTCCGAGCACCGTCGGCGGGGCCAGCTCGCAGCCGCGGAAGAGGCTGGTGGCTGTCTGCGACCACTGCAAGGGCAAAATGCAGCTGGTGGCCGACCTGCTGCTGCTGTCGAGCGAGACCCGCCCCGTCCTCTTCGAGGGCCAGGCCTCCTCCCCCTGTGCCGGCACCGAGTCCTTCGAGCAGTGCCGGGACACCATCATCGCGCGCACCAAGGGGCTCTCCATCCTCACCCACGACGTGCAGAGCCAGCTCAACATGGGCCGCTTCGGAGAGGCCGGGGACAGCCTGGTGGAGCTGGGCGACCTGGTGGTGTCGCTGACCGAGTGCTCCGCCCATGCGGCCTACCTGGCGGCCGTGGCCACGCCGGGCGCGCAGCCCGCCCAGCCGGGCCTGGTGGACCGCTACCGCGTCACGCGCTGCCGGCACGAGGTGGAGCAGGGCTGTGCCCTGCTGCGAGCCACCCCGCTGGCCGACATGACGCCGCAGCTGCTGCTCGAGGTGTCGCAGGGCCTGTCGCGCAACCTCAAGTTCCTGACCGACGCGTGCGCCCTGGCCAGCGACAAGTCCCGGGACCGCTTTTCCCGCGAGCAGTTCAAGTTGGGCGTCAAGTGCATGAGCACGAGCGCCTCGGCGCTGCTGGCCTGCGTGCGCGAGGTGAAGGCGGCACCCAGCGAGCTGGCGCGCAGCCGCTGCGCGCTCTTCTGTGGGCCCCTGGTGCAGGCCGTGGGCGCCCTGGTGGGCTTCGCCACCGAGCCGCAGTTCCTGGGTCGCGCGGCGGCCGTGAGCGCCGAGGGCAAGGCCGTGCAGACCGCCATCCTGGGTGGCGCCATGAGCGTGGTGTCGGCCTGCGTGCTCCTGACCCAGTGCCTCAGGGATCTGGCGCAGCACCCGGACGGGGGCGCCAAGATGTCGGACCACAGGGAGAGGCTGAGGAACTCGGCCTGCGCCGTGTCTGAAGGCTGCACCCTGCTATCTCAGGCTTTAAGGGAGAGGTCTTCGCCCAGGACTTTACCGCCAGTGAATTCCAATTCTGTGAATTAGCACCCCCCACCCAGACCCCTTCTTGCACCCGAAAGGAAAGGAAGATGCTTACTCTCTGCCCCTCTCCATGTATGCCAAAGAGAACCATAGGTCGTGCCCCTGCCCCCCTCCCTGGTGTGACATGCTCGAGAGGAATCTTCCATGAGGCAGGGCCTGGCACCAAACACACGCACCCCCCAGGGCCCAGGCGCCCCCCAGCCTCTACACTGTACCCCATCCCCACCCCAGCCCATCTTCCGGAATTTCACAACCAAATCATAACGAATGGGGCAGGAAGGAGGTCATGGGTTCATTTGTTTTTTTGGTCTTTTTTTTTTTTTAATTGAAAAAAAAAAGTTACCTCAGTTTTCCCTCCGTAGACATGGATGTAGCTACCTTTTTCTTTGTATGTTCTCGAAGCAGTCAGTGTTGGCTTAGGCGTATACTTGGTGTGGGAAGAGTGTGACTTTGCCATGTGATTTGCCAATGGGGGGAAAAGCTACTGTGAGTGTGTTTGATTTTTTTTTAATTTACACTAGAAAGTGATTTTTTTTTCTTCCCCCAAATGTCAAGTTTTTACCTTGCATGTACTGGAGTATTTATTTCATCTATTAAAATGTTATGTTTCTCAGATGGCTGTTTTTGCAATGGTGGTTGATTTTCAGTAGCCGTCACTTGCCATGCTGCATGCCACCGGCAGGCAGGAACTTCTCGGGAGCGGTGAGGGGCCCTGCTCCATGTCCACGCGGGCCCCGCATCCCACGCTCCTTACTTTTCCCCCAAGATTGATTCCTCTGAGCCTCTGAGAACTGGAGAAGGCTGTGTAAAGGCAGGAGACACGTGTGACCTCACCGTGCTGAGAGCCTGGGCTGTGCCTGAGGGGCCTTGTCTTGTTCCTCGTTGGGAAGTGAATTGAGCTCCCTCGTTCTCGTTTTCCTGTCAGAATAGTGGTTCCAACAGATTTGCATTGTTCTTTCTTCAGATGAAGGCTCTGTCTAATCCTGTGTGGCGTCCCAGATTAGGTCTATTGGTGGGAGTTAGCAAGTACATCAAGCTAAGCACCTTTTGTGTAGCCAGGTCTCTGTAAGATCCGTGACAGGGTCTTAGGATGGAAGTTCAGAAGGGCCTAGATGGCTGAATTGAGCGAGAGTGGATCAGGAAAGCATATGACGAACTTTGCAGTGCAGAGCAGCGGCGCAGGCAAAGATAGTTTTGTGACATTGATTGAAGATAGGTCTGGGTTGATTATAGGTTGTAAGGATGCTTTTGTTCATTGAATTTTGGATAGATACAATGGAGTTTATTCATTCCACAGACATTTAAAAAATGTGGGTGTATATGGTCACATCTTGAACACTTCCCCACAGAAAGGCCAGCAAATTTAATTTGGAGTGATAGTAGAGTGTTGGGAGGGTCACGTCCTAGGGGGCATCACAAATTCAATCCAAGGATAAGAGAATGTTCTCATCAACTTTGTGAGCCCCCCTCGTGCATGCTTTAATGTTGTCCAGGTGATGTTGCCCTTGGCCTTTGTGCAGTTCCCACAAACATCAGAAAAGAAAGAAAATTTTACCGTGATATGTTCAAGATAAGAAATTCCTATGGTGTAACTGAATGGCTGTGTGTGCACATCAAATTCAAGCCATTGTAAACCGTGTTTTGGGTAAGGCTGGAAGTGTTGAGCTGCTTAAATGTGAAGTGTGAAGGCATCTTGCCGGTGTGGTATGTGGTATACATGCATTTTTTTCAACAAATGGTCAGGGGGAGCAGTTAGGTCTAGGTAGACTTACACCTTTCTTCTTAAATCTTTAAAAAGATGAAAATGACCTTGATGTTTCTTCCTTTCCCTCTGGTCCTCTTTAAAACCTGGGCCAGGTTCACAAACTACTTGGGAGAGGGGGAGCACCCCTACCCACCCAGCCTAATGAACATGACAGTAATGCCGGAGGGTGCACATATCGGGGTTACAGCTCAGTGGCAGAGCATCTGATGGCAGGCCGTATGGATATAAGAAGGTTTTTGTTGTTGTTATTTATTCAATCTTCCCAGGTAATGACACTCTGCTATGGAGCCAATGCTGGCTCACAACGGCCTGTAGGACAGATTAGAACTGCCCCTGTGAGTTTCCAAGACTAACACTTTACAGGAGAAAAAAAAATGTCATCTTTCTCCCACAGAAAAGCTGGTGGCTTTGAACTGCTGACATTGTTAATACCAGCCCCCAAAGTAGCCTTTATGCCACCAGGTAATGATAAAGTTTATCAGTTCACTGAATCAATGTACATCATAAATGGGGTTTCCCAAGCTAATCTTGACAAAAGCAGTCTGCCACACCTTTCTCCTGCGGGGCAGCTGGGGAGTTCACACCTGCCAACCTGTGGGTCGCAGCCCAGCTCTTCCACCGCTGTGTCACTAGGAGTCCTCTGCCAGGAGCTAACTCAAGGTCAAATCAGATTTGAGTTAGGAACTTGTAAACTTGGTAGTTGATTAAGAAAAAGAATGGCCAGTTTTCCTCACACGTGTTCCTTGCAGAAGCAATTTTCAGGATAATTTGCCACCCCCCCAAAACAAACAAACAAACCACTTTCTCTGTGTGCTGAGATGAAGTTAATTAGCTAGTCTAGTCACACAAGTTAATTTTAAAATTTCGGGTTTTTTCCCCGTAGCGAAATAATTTCTCTCATCTTTTTGTGAATGATAGGTTTTGATTTACTCAAAATCCCTATCTTTAAGTGTAAAAAGTTTCAAACCCTAAGAAGTGGTTTAATTTCTTTTCCAGCGTCCCCTCTTCCCCCCTCCTCCCGTCATCTTTGAGATCGTTTGGCAAGACTTTGTCTCACATACTTGGGTCCTGTTATCAGGAGGGACCAGTCCCTGGAGAAAGGACATTATGTTTATCGAGGGTCAGCACCAAAGGAGACCCTCAGCGAGACGGATGGACGCGGTGGCTGCGTCAGTGAGCTCCAGCCTAGGAACAACAGAGGGGGGCGCAGGACCGGGCAACAACAGCACGGGGCTGGAAGAGAACTCTGCTGGTGGTTTTCTCACCAGGTTAACGGAAACCAGAGCGTGCCTGCTCTGGCAAGGCGAGGGAATTGGCCACAGCTCTTTGATATTTGACTCTCTTCCACGTTTCCACAGAGAGCCCTGGTGGTGGAGTGGTGAAGAGCTCAGCTGGTCCTAGAAAGGGGGCAAATCAAACCCATCAGCTGCTTCACGGGCTCAAGGGAGAGAGGACTTAGCCATCTGTTTCCATGAAGATGTTAACCTAGGAAACTTCTTGGGGCAGTGCCGTCCTGTAGGGTTGCTATGGCACATAGCAACGACAACATGACCCCAGCTGCCAAACGTGTCTCTCAAACCAAACAAACAACTCACTGCTGCTGTGGGTTTCTAAAACTATACAGGAGCAGACAGCCTCGTCTTTCACCAGAGGAGCAAATGGTGGATTCAAACCACTGACCTGAGTCGCAGCTGAATTCATAGTCCATTACCCCAGCAGAGCACCTTCGTTTGGTCAACAGCATCTTGGGGCCTATTTCATTGGGTTTAATAAGGTCAGTAGTAATGGTAATTCCAGGGGTAAAATCAGGGTGTTTTTTTTTTTACTTAAGTCAGACTAGAATTAATTTAAGACCTCATTCCTTGGGCCCTCCTGACTTCTGAGGGCCAGTTTTCTTACACATACTTGGTGTGCACCAACCCAACCAGGCGAGGTTGAGTATTTCCTGTAAGAGAAAGAAACTGTGATAAAGCCATCATTTATGACAATCCTAGTAACTGGCAAAAGAGGCTTTCACACACAAGACTGGCAAACAGGCCATCTCTCCTTGGCTCTCTGAAGCTTGACTCCCTTCTCATTCATTCTGGGTTGATGCTGGAAATTTTGCAAACGGAAAAATTGTGTCTGTGTATCTCCCTCAGAGGATCCCTGGTGGTGTAGTGGTTATGTGTTGGGATGCGATCCGCATGGTTGGCAGTTCAAAACTACCCGCAGCTTCTTGGGAGAAAGACTGGGTTTTCTACTCCAGTAAACAGTTGCAGTCTGGGAAACCCTCAGAGGTGGCTGGGAGTCCGCACTGACTCAATGGCAGTGAGGGAGATCTTCAAGCCCTATTCCTCCACTGCCCCCCCCCCTTGCTTGTATCCAATTTTAATGGGCTCAAAATTACATGATAATTGGTATTTGAACTCATAATCCAGTTCATGTATTTTCACTATTTTAAAAATAGCAACATTGTTAGAGAAGTTGGTATTTGAAGCTACATATATACAAACTTTTTCCCTTCAAATTTGTAAAGTTCTCTACTGAGTATTATGATGCTTTGAAGAAATTCTTGTGACACTTCCACTAGATGTTCTTTTTTAACCCCCCTGAGGATAAATTCTCTGTCAGTGGGTAGGTCAATTGTAACATTTTTAACCTCTCTCAAGGCAATTATTTTTTTTAATCTTTTATTGGGGGCTTGTACAATTCTTATCACAATCCATACAT